GTTGCAGTTCTCCCATTCAACACAATGCTACGCTATTGAGCACAATTCACAGCTCACATTAACACTGGAGAAGTGTTTACTGAACAGAAATCATAACAGAGAAAACATTGATCATCCACTGACACAAACATTGTTAGACAGTTTGCCTTCAGCTCTTTGGTCTACTTGTCCTACGGACGTGGGATTAATCAAAGTTGACCCGGTCAGAATCTCTTTGCATGAGGGGGCTGTGCCGGTGTACAGAGCTCAGTATCCGCTCACACTGCAGCAAGTCAGTGGTATCGAGAAAACCATTCATGGACTTTTGGAAGCTGGAGTTCTAACTCCCACTCAGTCTTCCTGGAACAGACCCATAAATCCAGTTCCAAAGGCAGGAAAACCTGATTACAGGATGGTTCATGATCTCAGAGCTGTAAATAAACTTGTGGTTCCAACGAATCATGCTACGCCAAATCCATACACAATGTTGAATGCAATAAGCTCTGAACACAGGTTTTTCAAATGCATTAACCTTGCCAATGCTTTCTTCTCTGTGCCTCTGCACAGAGACTCACAGGACATGTTTGCTTTCATGTACAAAAGGACAACAGCTAGCCTACAGACGGTTACCGATGGGCTTTATTGACAGTCCATCCATTTTTAATCACAGTGACAAAACTTGAAAAATCTTTCTCTCCCAGCTGGAGTCTGTCTCCTTCAGTATGTTGATGACCTGTTGTTAGCTGCTCCTGACTCAGAGAGCATAATGACAGCCACAGGCGCATTGTTGACACATTTACACAGGAATGGCTTCAAGGTCTCTAAGGATAAGCTGCAGATAGGAAGGCCTAGAGTTGCTTTTTTAGGCCGCGTGGTGTTGTCGTGGCTAGAGTGTGATACCGACTAAATTAATTCAGACAAACCATTCCAATTTAAAGGATCATTTAATATTACAATTATTCTGAGTAGAGTAGTATTTAAACACATAATCTTGTAGTTAGGGAACAGAGAACAGAGACTGTCCTCCTGCAATGTGATAGATACAGTATTGCATGGGAGTTGTCGCAGAGTCAGTCAGTTGTCAGTCTTAATTCAGCGTCCCCCCCAGCCGGCTGGGTCAGCGTCCCCACAAAGTGCACGGTTTACTGTCCCAATAGCATTGTCATCCTCTCTCCCTCTTCTTCTGCTCTAACCCAGCTCTTTATCTGCTCATACTCACAAGGCCTCCATGGCCTGAGCCATGAAGACGCGGTCCCATGCCAGCTACCCACACACC